AGAAAAGAAAATGGGATGTCTATTTCAAATATGAGCATCCACTATAATACTGTTTGAAGTAATACACATTCTGCATGCACTACCCCCAAACCCCAAGATCAAATGTTGCCCCGGGCTGTGCTTTGTGACTATTGCTATCTTATCAACATTTGCTTTTTTTTACCTACATTTATATACATTACAAAGTAAACTAAGCACAACTGACTATTAAAGGATGAAAAATTTTCACAGATTTTGACGTCATTCTGTGGTCTTTTTTTTTTTTGTCCAAATTAGGGAATTTGTTTTGATCATACTACGTCTTGAAAATAAACACAATATAAAATTCACTGTTTTTTACCCATAATATTGAATTAAAATTATTCAACTTTTTAACAAGAAAAAACCCAAGTTGATGTTAAAAATTACTACAAAACATTGGTTTATGATGGAATGATCTATGATGACATATCTCTAATTTGTATTTAGATACATTCTATTTATTTTTATTTTTTTCATGTTAAATTTTTCATCTATATTGTACAGGATCCATTATTTTATATAATTAGATTGCAATAAAATATGTATTTTATATGAATACTAGCTTATGAAAATTGAGTTTTAGTAAAGTGGGGCGGTGAGCGTATCCTAGGTGGGGGAGCATGAGACCCTTGCACCAGCCTTGATCATATATATATATAGATATTTACAATATTGATTTTACATTTATATGTTGTTGCTAAACTAGAAAATAAAAGAATCTATAAATAGTGTAAAATAAACCCTGCACAAGTTAAATTTATTTTTACTTATCTTGAGGAAGGGAGCAATTCATTCAATTTGAAGACATGTTAAAACTGTATATCTCCCTATATAAGATACACTTTATACCTCAATGGTCAGATCACTGACACAATGCTAACACCCTATTTGACACACTGTTCTCTTGATGATACCCAAACTATTAAATAATAATTAGAAATCAAAATGCATATATTTTAAATAATTTCATCCCAAGCAAGGCAATAAAGCCATTAAGATGCAAGAGATTAATGAGTGTGAGAGAATATGGGAAAAAAACCACTATTAAGAACAACAAAGAATGGGAATTAATAAGACAAGATAATGATTGAAATTGCATTTAATTTGTTTTTGTTACATCTAGCTAATTCAACCATAAAATGATGAGGCTTTACCAACAATCTCATACTGTGCTTAAATTCATAAAGTCTAGATACCATAGAGCAAAGTTTGTCTATATTTCTGAGATGAGGTATTATGTACAGTATTTACATTAGTCGGACTATTGTGACAAATATGGCGACAAAGATGAGGACAATAGTCCGACTAATGTAAATACTGTCCATAGAGCAAAGTTCATCAGAACAATTACCATGGAAGTATTTATAGAAAAGGCACAGGGGAGCTACATTATGGCGGAGAGGAGGTGACTGAAGCTGGGATGCCAGGTAAGGGCCAGTAATATTGCAGATTATTCTTTGTATTTTATCAAAAATCTCTAAATATATAGCAGACCAGATGTAACAGTAGTATTCAAAGTATGGATGAATGGTAGATTTATAAATATGAAAAAGGTTACTGAATAAGAATAACCAAAACAAAAGTTGGAAATGGAGCGGTAATCTTTATAACATTAACAACGTACAAGATTCGCCAGCGATGTGTAGTAAATAATCCACTGCAAAAATTGCAATACGAGTACTGGTAAAAAATGATTGCTGAAGACATTAGGTTTATAATATCCAGAAATTCATACACAAGGATACATGGCACAGTGGATAAAGGTGTTAGTTAGATTCAGTGACAGGACCCAAAGAGTGTAAGTTCAATACCTGGTTAAGGCAGTGGAGAACTTTCAGAGGAAAATTAATAGGAGATAACTGATAACTGACATCCATTAAACATGGCATGTGAAACTAGAACCGTCTACCTCAGTGAGCGAAATAAAGGGTTCAGTTTGACATTCCACCACCATCATTTTATGGTTGAATTAGCTAGATGTAACAGCCACCAAAATGTTATAATAAATATGATGACAAAGATGAGGACAATAATTCGAATAATATAAGTAATGATTCAATATAATCTTTCCTCTTCATGTCAGCAAAAAAAGTTAGCCTGATACACGTCCTACTAATTAATCCATAGTTAGGGGAGGATGTGGTGGAATCATACTTTTCTCAAGGGTATATGCATACAAGTGAATATAACAAACCCAACTGGAATTGAAACCGAGCTCTCTGATTTCCAGTTCTGAGCTGTTATCCATTATACCACCTGCACATTCAAGCTTACAGCACCTGGTATTCCCAAGCAATCACCCAAGCTCAAAATTGTTTAACTTCAGTTTCAACATGATATGTCTATAAACCTCAATATCTTGGGATAGAGTATTATGATATATGAAAATAAAAACCAGTGGATTTCAAATTCTGACAAACTCCAACAAGGGACAAACATTTTGTTTATTATTAGTAGAAATTGTCTTATCCTGACAAGTAGGATGGTGGATAATCAGTGAAGTTTCAAGCCAGAAGATAAGTCATTTGAACTTTTCAACTACAGAGAGATAGACAGCGAATGCTTACCAAATTATAAGTGTGCATTATATGATAGGAAATACTGTAACACATTAAATACTTTTTGCTATTTTGATTTGAGATACTGCGTTCACAGTCTATCTCAATGTGTTCACTGTCTGAGATAGACAGCGAACGCATCAAGATAAATCTGCATGAATAACTTTTTTCTAAATATCCCTTACCAAATTATAGGTGTGCATTATATGATAGGAAATATTGTAATATATTAAATACTTTTTGCTATTTTGATCTACTTTTTTATAAAATAAATGAAATAATAAAGATTAAATGAGTTTCCATAACAAGCACTGAATTTCTTTGATTTTGGTCCTAACTTTAAATATTTGTTCATTCTTCAATAAGTTTTTGTATATTTTCATGTTTTTCATTTTTGTATTATGTTTTTCAGTAATGCTGAAGTAAATGATCCCATTGTAGTTTTTATTAATAAACAAATTAATAAATATTAAATAAACCTTAAAATATTAAATACAAAACTATATTCAGTTTCTAAAATTGATAACAAAATAAGAGCTCTTGCACAGATTTTAATTCCAAATAATATTCAGTGACTATTCAATAAATTTTCAAAACAGAAACAAAAAACAAAAGAAGAGTACTGAACTACTACGTAATATCAATCTTCCTCTATGACAGCAAATGCTGGACAATTTCCTCACAAATGAAGAGACTTGAGACAACAGAGATATTGTTCTAAAGAAGGATGCAGAGAATATCATGGACAGAGCATTTGAGCAACAAGGAAGTTTTACGGAAAATGGGAACAAAAACAACGCTTAGAATCAAAGTTGAAATTTCTGAACATATGAGGAAAGAGGACTTGGAAAATTTGACACTCACAGAGTATATTGAAGGCATGAAAGACAGAGAGAAACAGCAAGTAACCTACTTAAAAGGCTTGAGTTAAGGATTATCAGAACAGAGAGTGGGAGGCATAGTAAAAAGATAAACATTGCTAAGAGTTACAATGGATAGGAAGTTGTGAAGGGACATGATTGGCCACATCCTGAGGAACATGCCACATAGAAGATTCAATGAATATTAACCTCACATTAAAATGCTTGTGTGAATATTTTTTATGAAAGACTAATTAACGAGGAAGTAGGACTTGGAAAATCTGATTCTCACAGGACAGATAGAAGGCAGATGAAAACAGCACATAACATACTTGGTGAGCTTAAATAAATGGATGGTGGAACAGGGTTTAGGAGAAATCATGAAAAGACAAAATTTATTAAGTGCTACAAAGGACAAGAAATTGTGGAGAGCCATGATTGCCTACATACTGAGGAGACAATGCACATAAAGAAGTAAGATGTAACTGCAGTGAATTATCTTATGCCAATCAGTGTCTGACAGAATCCTCTTTTACTTTCTTACATGATCAAAAATATCCTTAATCCTTATGGAAATCTCCTAATCAGAAGTATTCCTTTCATGCTTCTATCTTTAGCATATCTATGTTTTTACTGAAATGTTTCTCATTCAATAAGTACTTTTAAAATATAATGAATATTACAGAAAATAGTTGTGAAGGGACAGGAAAAGTTATTTTTTAACAGTCAAGACTTATTAACAACTAGTCACATTCACAAATGGAAAAATATTTTCAACAAAAAGAAATTGAAACTAAAATTGGAAATTGAACTGAAATCCTTTGTTGATTCAAATACTCTTGTAATGCTCAGCAGTTATATTTAAAAATGCATAAAAATTTATTCAAAACATGAAATATATGAAACATTGTTTAAAAAAAAAATTATTTAATAATTTTAAAAGTTTTTTTTTTTGGTGCATTCCTAACATTTTGTGCTGGTGACATAATTTTAAAAAATAATTTATTTTATAATACATTAGTTAAGTTTTACCAAGTCAAGCCAAATCTATAAGAGGTAATTCAACAGAAAATTTAGTTAAAAAAGAATAAGTTACTAAAATGTTGTAATATACCAGTTTGTAATGTTCTGTATTCACTAATCAGTTTTGTTGAGTTTTTAATTAAAAAAATTTTTCTCTCTTATTTGTTTACATTTTACTCAATTAAATCTCCTTTTGTCCTAAAATATGATATGAACTTTTTAAAACTTTTTTTTTTAATAAAAAAAAACAAAACAATTACAAAAGAAGTCAGAATGTGTAAAACTGAAGCTGCAAAATTTTTATCAACTCCTTTCACAAAGTTTTCACTATTGGAAATCCAACGGTAACAAATTCCAAAAAGCAAACATATAACTGTGAAAGGCTATTGAAGTATGTTCTCCAAGTGTTGGGAACAGGGATAGAATATTTCCATTTATTCACACAGTGAGATATCCTTTTCATTAATGTACATGAATAGAACAATATTTGATAACAACAAAATAATTACAAGAGAATAATAATCCCTTTTCCCTTACCTTATTTTGGCAACACTGTAAGGGAGCAAAGACATAGCCAGCCATCTCTTTGACACTTTTGGAAAAAGAAGTGGTAAATCCTGAAGTCGCCATACTCAGGAACAGGTAATAAGCAAAAATGAAAAAAGAAATAGAGGAGAACTAGAACAAGTAAAAAGAGTGAATGAAGAAAAGGAAGAAGAGTGAATAAAAAAAATGGGAAAGGAAGAACAGTGAATGATAAAGAGAAAAAGGAAGAAGAGTGAATGAAAAAGAGGGAAAGGAAGAAGAGAAAAAAAGAAAAGGAAAAACAAAGAACAAATAAGAAGAAGAAAAGGAAGAAAATAAAACTGGAAAGAAGAAAAGAAAAAACAGAGAGAAAAACTAAAAAGAGAAAAAAACAGCTTGGAAAATAAGAAAGAGTGAAAAGATATTGTGGTGCTGGTAATGTTGTACTGGGGATATCCACAGTAAAGGTTTGGATGGGACAGTATCCTTCATCAAGCAGGGTCAGTCACAGAGTTGGTCATGGGGATGGTGAAGAAGTTGCAAACATTTGTGGAAGCATATAGTGGCACACAAATTTAACAGGTTCTTGTAAATCATTTTCAGATCGTGTTACATTGGGACCACTGATTACATGCAACAGGGCAGGAAAAGTTCCCAGATACTTTTCAAGGTGATTCCCTGATACCTGAATTATCCTGCACACATGTTCTGAGATAATAATATCCCTAACAGGTAGACCACAACTTATTATCATTTTCTTATTTTTAATTTTACTCCATTTCTTTTCTTTTTTTTTTTTTTTCGTATGTTTTTTATTTTTTGTTATTAACCTTTTTCTTTCATTAAAGAGATTTAATAAAAAAAATAGAGATTTTAATAGTCCAAATATCCAAAGACATTGAGAGTAATCCTAAAATCCATAGATAGTAATACTTGATCAATCTTTTTCACTAGTTAATAATAAAAATTTAAACCATCCAGTATCATAAATACTTGTATCCTGCATCATCTAAAATATATGCTTCAATGCCAGTTGTTATTGATGATCTTGCCGTAGGGCCAGTAATATAGGTACATGGATTGTCGGGGCCGGCAATATAAGAGTATTGTTGTTACCATGTAGAATTGTATAATAAACTGTTGCTGATAATTGCATGTTATGTAAGGTAGCCCAGAAGTGATGATACTCTATAGTCCTGTTGTCATTAAATATCTATTCTATATTTCTGTTGAATGTATGCACTTGTTTGCAAGAGGAAGAATAAGAAAGTGAAAGTGAAAATAAGAGATCCAGTAGAGAACTATTTATATAGATTACGACAACACTATAACAATCCTGATGAGACAGAAGCTGAATCAGTTTAGGGTCATATTCTTTTGTAACAAATAAATGTTTGTTGATATCATGATTATAATGAGAAAGTATTCTGTTATCAAAGGAGAGACACCAGATTCAGAACACTTTCTAAACAGAGTTTAGTCATATTTATAAGCATCCAAAGAGTCAGTTACCGGGCCAGTTCTCAGTTGCTGTGTCGGCTGCTACATCCGAGTTTGTGCTGTTGTGCAGCTGAGGTGTCATGGCCAGTCACTGTCCACAGTGGGCTTTGACCACAGTGGCAACACAGTCAGGCTGACTGGGCTCTCCTGTTGGCAACCACTGTCCGTCATCAGCTGTGGACACTGTCAGCACCCTTGGTAGTGCGACTCTGAGAGGACCTCACACACAAGGCACTAAACACAACAGTGATGAAGATGATGATTAAGAAAAGCAGCAGTTAATGGAATCCATCCCACGCGCTATATCTCCATCTGCTGCACACACAAGCACCAACGAACATACAATAGATGAGTGCTAATAAAGTTGGTAAGATTTGTTCGGACCAGCAGAGCAGGGGAGAGAGGGGGAAAATTGGCCACTAGTAGTAGTAGCTGGTCTATAAGAATGAGAGAAGAGGAAAGAGTTAGAGAGAGGAGAGGGTGTTGTGGAAAAAACGAATGAATGAATACAATAAAAATCTGACAATAAGAGCTGTAGAAACATTGAACAAAAAAATTAAGAAAATTATCAGTGTGGTAAAAGTTAAGTAAAAGTGAGAAAAAGAAAATGAATATTGAAGTTGAAAAAAGAAGAGTAAGGAGACATAAAGGAGAGTAAGTGTGTTAGGGAGAGTAAGGATGCAAAAGGAGAATAAGGAGGAAAATATTAAAGAGAAATAGTAACCAAAAAATTAAAAAAGCAAATAGGAGAAATAATGAAAAAGGGAGCAAGAATAAGGAAATAAAAAATAAAAATCAAAGAAAAAAGATAAAGTAAAACAAGAAGTAAGTAAAAAGAAAAAGCAAAAACGAAGAAAAAATGAAAAAGAAGAAAAAAGTGAAAAAGAAAAAGTAAAGGAAAGTAAAAAAGAAAATGAAAAAAAAGTAAAGAGGGAACAAAAAAGAAAATGTAAATAAAAAAAGTAAAAAGTAAAAAAAAGAAAAAGTTAAAAAAGAAAAATATAAAAAGTTAGGAAGAGGGTAAAAGGAGAATATAAAATAGGATAAAAAATAAGAAAAGACAAAAAATGACAAGAGGAGTTGAATTACACAAAGTATTAAACAGGAGAGAAAGAAGAAAAAATTATGCAAAGAAAAAGTAAAACTCAATCACATATTCTTACAAAAAGAGGGCAAAGGTTAAAATATTGAAAATATTTTTAAAAAATGATAAAAGATAAATAAAAACATTTCAAGAACTTAAATAAAAGCAAATAAGTGTAATTGGAACATACAGAAAACAGATTCAGAATGTGGTTATAGCAAAAGAAATTATAGAAAACGTTTTTTTACAAAATATGGGTATAAAAGAGGGAAGCCAAATAAAGACAAATAATGAAGGATAGAACAAAAAAGTCTTCTTTTTTTTTTTTAATGGACAAATAAAGAGGGGGAAAGATTCAAAGAAATGGTGAAAAAAGAAAAGGAAGAAAAAGAAGAAAAGGACATAAATGAAAACTTAAGTATGGAAAAAGTGAGAAAGAGTGATCATAAAGATGAAAAAGAAGGAAAGTAAAAGAAAGTCCAATGAAGATAAACCCAAAGAGAAAAAAAGAAGGAGTGATGGAGTAAAGAAATAAAAGAAAAAGAGAGAGACAAAAAGAGAGATTTATTTAATGACAGGAAACAAAAATAAAAGAATAATTAAAAAAATGGGTAGTAGTAGACAAAGAATAAGGAGTTTTTTTTGGGGGGTTTAAAAAGGAGAGCATAGATGAAAAGAGTGGAAGTAAAGGTTTTTTAAGAAACAGACTATTAAAAAAAAGTATCAGAAAAGAGAAAATTATATAAAAGTAAGTAGAAAGAGATGCTACAGTGATGAAGCTTCTTACTTCAGCAGCAGCAGCAGCTGGCCAGTGTCAGACAGAGGACATGTGGAGGGAGAGAAAGATGAAAGGATAGGGTAATACATTACAGTCACAGCCAAGGACAGAAGATTGTTTCAAAGGAGTAGATGCTTGAGAAGGGAACTGGAAACATGTGGTTATGTGAGTAACAATAACATCACTAATGATAAACTCTACCTTGGCTGCATACAAACATTCAGATAAAAATATTCAAAGCAAAGTGGGACACTTCTGATGATAATGATGATCAAATATCGACAATGACAGTGTTATAGAAGTTCTATCATCTGCAGCTTATGATTAGCAGTTATAATAGTAGTGACCAATGATACTTAATAGTGACCGGTACATTACAATAAAACTAATTCATATCTGTATCATTTGAACCGGCAAATCAAGTTCAAATTCCAGGCTAGCCCGATGCATTCACTTTCACGCAAATGCACTTAGGAAAGACATCAAACCATCTCTTCTCCTCTAGGTTAAATAGCAAAGTAAACCAGGCCCATTACCTGAATGTTTTAAGTATGGGGTGGGGCAGCCTTAAAGTCAGAGACCACAGGTAAAGTTTGCACAGTAAAATTTTTTCACATCATTTTTCTAAGTTGGGGATTGTTTTTATGGTGAGTACAAGAGGCACCCCACTGCCAATGGTGACAGACTTGGTAGAGACTCTTTAGCCTGGTGCTAACCAATCTCAGAGTAGGAAAACTCCAAATTCCAAACTGCACTCAGAGTGGGAAATCCCTCTACTATCTTTCCCAAGAAGGCATGGCAATTCACAGATAATAAAGAAAAAGTAATCTGTGGGGAGCCATGATCATATGTGTCCTGAAGAAACATGGCAAAATTAATTTAGAACAGACTTAAGCCAATTATGTTAAAATTTACTTGGTAGTTCACATTGAAAACAAAATAGTATTAGTGACAATGAATGTAGTTTACTGGTGTACACAAAATGAATATTTAATAAGTTCAATCTACACTTCAGAGAGAGACTGTCAACCAGCTAGCTGTGCTTACCTCCAATGTTTGGTCTCCATAAATGTTCAGCAAACATCACTGAATGTCAATGGATGCAACTTTTTTCACAGTGACACACCTTTACTATACACGCACATACTTTCATATCAGACACCATTTCACCAGATTGTTACTCAGCTGCTATTTGCAACAAGGCAAAAGAGAATTGGGGTTATTAGTAGAACATTTCAACTTCTATCATACCACCAACACCTGCATCGGATATTAGAGTTGAACACAATAAAATAAAAGGTATTACTTTCAGAGTGACTCCCAGTAGGTGTATACATGCACACAGGTTTCTCTTAAAACAGTTTTTTTAGGAAAAAAAGGTTCCTCAACACCAGTAACTTTTATGGGGATTTCCATCCAAACCATCTATCTGAAGTGATATGAAATATGAACATCTTGATTATGTCATTATTTTCTCTTTGAGTTACATATACTATCCATTTCAGTTGCTGCTGCTATTGGTTCAAGTTGCAAGTGATGTGGTTTCTGTTATTTGGTACAGTTCTTTGTTTGTGATTCTGTAGTACCAGTCTTCAATATTCAAAGAAGTATGATCTTTGCCAAGACCATCAGCCTTTACTTGCTCAAAGACTTTTTCACCATAACCAGTAAGGTGTTTCATGAATCTCACTTAAAATTATCAAATTTTTGTATTTGTTTCCTGAACTTAAAATACTTTAAACAATATCACAAGTTTATTTTCTATTTTATTTAAATCCTTGGTTATTATAAGCTAAAAATCCAATAAGTGCAAAGCATAGTGCAAAAGGTGAGATTGTCATCAAATCGTGAATCATGTGACTGTTTAACCTATGGAAGGATACTGAATAGAATAGTCAAACGAAGGTGGGTAACGAACAATAATACTTAGTACAAGAACAACACATATAAGATTCACCAGCGGTGCATAGAAGAAGTAGTCAACTGCTAGAAGTGAGTCAAGTGAATTCCACAATGATTCTCCAACTGCAAACCAGCATACAGTATTTACTACTGTTTTTATGAGAATGGGGACATACCCATTATCATCCATAGGTATGCTACAACAGTGACACATCAGGATCATAGGAGCACCACATGTGCTGCAAGAGCAGCAGAAGTGGTGTTTCTTGGATAAGATAGCTTGATGGAGTCCAACCAGGCCAGTTTGAATTCAGTTTTCCTTCTCCGAGATCAGTTGCCACCTAAGACTATAGAACCCAGTCTGTCCTGCTATTTACCTATAGCTGGGGAGAGGAAGAAGAGGAGGATTCATACCTTTCCCAAGAGTATTAGCATGAAAGTGAATGTAATGGCTCCAACTGGAATTCAAACTCGGCTCTCCGGTTCCTCAATCCGAGCTTACTCCACTGTACCTCCTAATGAGATTGGCATGCTGAGTTCAAATTCGAACCGAGGCTATTATATTTGCATTCTTAAAGATTCTAGGAAAGGTATCAATCCATTTCTACTTCCCTAAGCTAGGGGTTAATAGCCGGATAGACTAAGCTTTCTAGCCTTGGTTGACAACCAGTTGAGGAAGAGAACAACTCTGAATTCAAGACCAGTTGGTTGAGGGGCCTGTAGCTCCACCCTGTAAAAATCTAATTGCTATAGAAATTGCAAAAGCAACACCTTGTATAGTAAAACTGTGGCCCTATACTCCACAGGAGAGTCTACAGGACTAGCATACATATATACATAGTGTTTTTCTCAATAGAAAAAAAGGCATAATTTTTCTTCAGTAGGACTTTTAATTTAGACTTGTTATTAATTTTGCTGTTTAAGAAAATTTTAAAAAGTGATCGCAACTTGAACACATGTCCCCACTAAAAATAACATTTATAGTAAAAAGAAATAATGTAATAAAAAAAAATACTTTCAAAAAAATTATTATTTATGTTTCAGGTACGAAACTGAAGCGAGCAGATATAGATTCATAAAAGTCCCAACAAAAAATGTGTTTTTGTTAAATAAGTAATTCAAACTTTTCCCTGTCAGGCTGGCCTCTGTAGCAAAACTAGTAGTGGCACACTCAAAAAGTGTTTTCCATGATGAGAAAAATGGGATACAGGTTTGATTTCTGTTGGAGGTACAATTTTTCTTTTGTAGGTCTTCTCAATTTAGGCCGGCTGTTATTAATTTCAATATTTAATAAAAATTATAAACAAGGATAACAATTCAAACACATGACCCACTGAAAATACAGAATTACAGTAATAAGAAATAATGTTGGATAAAACATCTTTAAAAAAATAGATTTTTGTTTAATCAATTCACTTCAAGCAAGGCACAAGGCCACTAAGACACAAGGAGCGACTGGGAGTGAAAGAGAATAAAAAGACTTTAGAAGGAACTACAAATTCAATCCTTAAAAGGAAACAAGGGATAAACCTCTACTCCTGTTCAAAACACCAGGGAGGAATGTAAACCAAACACTAGGTGAATCTATCTACAATTATAAAAATATATATCATTATGAAGTAAATAAAACTTGTCCAAAATTTAAATAATCACTCTGAAGTTAAGATTCAATCTAATTATGTTCAAATTGTAAAGTTTAATTTAAAAATTAGACTGAGATTTAAAAGTCATTGATTTTTCAAAGGAAAGATCTTGTTCAGCACCAAAGATGCAAGTTACAAATTGGAGATGTCAAAAACAAGCACAGAAATTTATTAACTGGAAAGTTGTTTTTTTAACAGACACCAGAAAATGTGATACAGAAATCCGAAGGCTCATTGAAATAAAGAAAGATGCTTTCCAAAACCTAAACAATGTATTAAGAAAATGGAAAATTTTGTTAAAAACAAGAGTGATCCAATTTTATGCAGTATCAATTCTCCTATACTTGGCAATGAATGCTTGACAATTTCCTGATAGATGAAGAGGAAAATTGTGGCTACAAATATAGTTCTAAAGAAGGCTGCCAAGATGGACAGATAATGTGAGCAATTACAAAGTTTTAAGGAAAATGGTAACAAAAAAGAACACTTGTACCTAGAATCAGAAATAGACAGCTGAAATTTCTGGAACGCATAACAAGGAAAGAAAGCTTGGAGAATTTAACTCACAAGACATAAGACAAGTGGATCAAAATGGAACATCAAGTAACCTAACTATCGAGCTTGTACAAATGGATGGCATGACAGGAACTGGGAGAGATAGTAAGGAAACAAAATGTTTAGAACTACAAAGGATAAGAATGTTGTGGAGAGCCATTATCCCTTATGTCCTGAAAAGATACAGCACATAAAAGACATATAACTGACTGATCAAGAAAAATACCCAACCATTTTTTTAACTAAATAAAAAGTTACAAAATTAATCAACTCCATGTTTTTTTTAAGGTTGTGATAAAAAGTTGACATAATAATTTTAAATTTAATAATACTAAGCCAGGCATCTGTCTATACTTCTGAGATGAGGTATTATGTACACACACTATTTACATTATTCGGTGTGAATTCAATACCCAGTTAAGGCAGTGGAGAACTTGAAGAGGGGAATTAACAGGAGATAACTGATAACTGACATCCACTAGACATGGCACGTGGAACTAGAACAGTCTACCCCAGTGAGCGAAATAAAGGCTTTAGTTCGACATTCCAACCACCTGAAGAAGGCCGGAGCGTACAAGGGCCGAAACGTTGTAATAAATATGGAGACAAAGATGAGGACAATAGTCCGAATAAATAGTGTACTAAGCTAGGCATTGAAGTTATCAATTTTTATTAATTAAATTAATAACTGTAGCCAGGAATTTTTTTTTAAAATATAGAAAAAAATTCTACGCTTTTATAAATAAACGAATTCCACAGGTGTACACTGTCTTCGCTTTCCTTCATTCATAAAAACTTGTATAATGATTTTACAAAAAAAAAAAAAAAAATTAATAAACTAAACTAAAGAAGAGTAAAGAAAGAGTCTTTTTACTCTTTACTCTTCCTTAAAAGACAAAGTGCCTATTTTTCATTCCAAAGTTTACAAATCCCTCGGTCCAAAATTCAAAAATAAACATTTATTCATTTCATACACCAGTAAATTTGGT